CTGCTGCTGTCCTGTGGTCTCTGCGAGAGCCATGGGGTCCACGTGGTGAGGGGGGGGTGGCATGCTCCCCTCCAGGACTAGAGGTAAAAGGGAAAAGCCTCTAGCCTGGAGTCCCTCTCCCTATCCCCCTTCAATGTTCGTAAGGGTAGGAGTGTAGATCTGCTGGAGGGTAGGAAGGCTCTGCAATGGGATGTGGGCAGGCTGGATTGATGGGCTGAGGCCAATGGTACGAGGCTCAACAAGGCCAAGTGCCAGGTCCTACACTTGAGTCACAACAACCCCATGCAGTGCTATGGGCTTGGAGCAGAGAGGCTGGAAAGCTGCCTTATGGAAAAAGGACCTGGGGATGGTAATTGACAACAGCTGAACATGAACCAGCAATGTGCCCAGGTGGCCAAGAATGCCAGTGGTATCCTGGCCTGGATCAGAAATAGTGTGGCCACAGAATCAGGGCAGTGATTGTCTCCTTGTACTTGGCACTGGTGAGGGCACACCTTGAATCCTGTGCTCAGATTTGGGCCCCTCACTACAAGACAGACATGGAGGTGCTGGAGCGTGTCCAGAGAAGAGGAACAGAGCTGGTAAAGGGTCTAGCACACAAGTCTTGTGTGGAGCAGCTGAGGGAGCTGGGATTATTTTGTCAGGAGAAAAGGAAGCTCTGGGGGGGACCTTATCACTCTCTGCAGTTACCTGAAAGAAGGTTGTAGGGAGGTGAGTGTTGGTCTCTTCTCCCAGGTAACAGGTGACAGGATAAGAGGGAATAAGCTCAGATTTCACCCAGGGATGTTTAGATTGGATATTAGGGAAAATTTCTTCACTGGAAGGGTGGTCAGACACTGGAACAGACTGCCCAGGGAAGTGATAGAGGCACTTCCATTCCTGGAGGTATTTAAAAGAGATGCAGATGTGGTACTTAAGGACATGGTTTAGTGGTGGCTTGGCAGTGCTGGGTTAACAACTGGACTAAGTTGTCTTTTCCAACCTAAACAGTTCTATGATTCTATAATCACAGCTTGTTTTTCACATAGCTAAATACCCCTTCACCTCTTATCAGTAAGACAAGAGGGCATGGTTTTAAGGTCTGCCAGGGGAGGTTTAGGTTGAATATTAGAAAGAAATTCTATACAGAGAAGGTAATGAGGCATTGGAATGGGCTGCCCAGGGAGATGGTGGACTCTCCGTCTCTGTAGGTTGTTAAGATGAGACTGGATGTGGCACTCAGTGCCAGGTCTAGTAATGATGGTAGTAGTGGATCAAGGGTTGGACTTTATGATCTCGGAGGTCCTTTCCAACCCAGCTGATTCTATGATTCTATGATTGTTAATTTTGCCTGTAAAAAGAAATTACTTAAAACATAATGTTGGTAATAGGCTTTTACTGTTGCCAAAGAATTTTCCATTAGGTAGAATGGGGTGTGTCTGGCTCTGGAGCATCTCTCTTATGAGGAGAGACTGTGGGAGCTGGACCTGTTAAGTCTAAAGAGAGGACTGAGAGGGGATCTCATTAATGCACATAAATATCTCAAAGGTGGGTGCCAGAAGGGTGGTGCCAGACTCTTTTCATGGTGCCCAGCGATAGGTCAAGGAGTAATGTCCATAAACTGAAACACAAGAAGTTCCACCTCAACATGGGGAAGAACTTCTTTATGTTAAGGGTGGCAGAGCACTGGAACAGGCTGGCCGGGACGTTGTGGAATCTCCCTCTCTGGAGACATTCAAAACCCTCCTGGACATATTCCTGTGTAACCTGCTCTGGGTAACCCTGCCATGGTTGGAATAGATGATTTCCAGAGATTCCTTCCAACCCTAACAGTCCTGTGATTCTGTGAAAATACAGTGTTATAAAAAACTATTATTGGTAAAATATGTATGCTAAATTGTTCTAACAGATATAATCTTCCCCCAAGAATATAAGGAGTAGTTTCTACACAAGGAGCAGAGTGTCAAGTGATATGAAAAGTTATTTCATAAATCTGTCTAATCTTCAGCTAGGACTTTCTGTGCAATTACCACCTCCGTGGTATGACCGATTGCAGTTCTCAGACTGACCAGAGACATGCAATGTGTCTCTAGAAATTTGCACTTAGGAGATTGAGACTGACTAGTGTTGCTGTGGAAGTACTTACTTTGGCTAAGAATTTTCTGGTAACTTTTGCAGTGCAGGATTCTTTCCACTGCTTATGTTTGTTTCACTCTTCTTATGTAAAAGTTTGTATTTGCAGTAGAAGCCTGAGACTGGCAAGAATCTCACTGCTAACACTTTTCACTGTAGAGACTGATCTCCTTAGACTGCACAGATTTATTTTCTTTGTTACTGATGTTACTAATCATCCCAATTCAGCATCTTTTTTCAGTGAAATTTAAATTCTTTTATCTGACTGGTCTGTCTCTAATCTCTGAGATGTTTTAGATGGAAAAATGCTCTAGAATGTCTCTCTTGATTTCTGAGGTCATCACGGTCTCAATCTCATTGCTTTAGAAATCAGTTTTGAAAAATACTGACTGAAGTTGTTTTTCTTCCTTCTGAGAGCCCAAAGGGAACTTAGTTCTGTTCAAGATCTTTCTTGCATACCGTTCTGATTCTTTCATCAGGCAGGTTGATAAACAGATTTCCTCGGACTTCTCTGACTGAAGTGATTTTCAAACTACAGACACTGTAGATTTAATTGACCCTCCTGTAAATAAAGTAATTTTTTATTATCAAGGTGTCCTGTCTTCTGTCTCACAACAGGAGAGTTTTCTTACTTCCTTACGTGCTTTCCCTTTCTGAAACTGGGTGATTTCTGAAGAGACTGAATCTTTGCTTCTCCACCACTCTGCAGTGTAAGAATCCTCTTGTTTAGCGATGTTTAAATTTGGTGTTAACATCCCTAATGAAGAAATCATTTGACAATACTGTGTTTTCTTCTCCTTTTCTGTAAAGTGAAATGTGTCCAGAAGTTGAAGAGACGGCTTATGGTTGCAGTTACTTCTGCTAGCAGAATAGCTGTGATTTAGACTCTTAGTAGCAAATAATCCATACATCATTCAAAGAGACAATCCTGGACCTCTGCAGCACCTTAAAACTCAGACTGTATTTTCCTAACTGATTTCAGTGTTACTTAAAACAAGAGGTTAGCTTGCTTTGTCTTTGTGTTTGCTTGAAATTGGATACTAAGTCAGTAGAAGCTACCCTTGCGATATGTGCATTTTGAACACTGCCAGGACAGGATTATTTAGGAAACAATCTGCTTGCATCTATTTTTGGACTAATCCAAGAAGCTACATATTTCAAGACAAAAATCTTCCCATGGGATAACTGACTCTAAGGATACGTCATGCAGTAATTTTAAACAAAAGTTAGGAATGTCCTGTAGCGATCAACTTAAGCTCTATAAGAAGCTACGTCTCTCATAGCTTCAAAAATCTTTCAGTCTGTGTTTAGTGGAGGTGCTCTAAATCCTTCTCTGTACTCTGCTTCCTGAAATCACCACAGTGAGAGTATGCATAGAGCCATATAGACACCAAGCTGAATGCGAGCCAGCAATGTGCCCTTGTGGCAAAGGCAGCAAATGGTATCCTGGGGTGCATTAGACAGAGTATCATAAGATTAAGGGACATGATCCTTCCTCTCAGCACTGGTGAGGCCACACCTGGAGTTCTGCTCTCCCGAGTACACAAGAGTGATGGGCATATTGGAGAGAGTCCACCAAAGGGCCGCTGAGAAGATTGAATGTACTGGAACATCAGAGGGAAGGCTGAGAAAGCTGGGATTCTTCCACCTGGAGAAGGCTTAGGGAGATCTCGTCAATGTGCATAAATGCCTGAAGGGAGCATGCAGAGGAGAGGGAGCCAGGCTCCCTTCAGTGGTGCTCAGTGACAGGACCTGAGGTAGAGATCGCAAATAGAAACACAGGAGGTTCCCTCTGAGCATCAGGAAACACCTTTTGCTGTGAGTGTGACTGAGCACTGCCAGAGGCTGCCCAAGGAAGGTGAAGTCTTTCTCCTTGGAGATACTCAAAAGGTTTCTGGACATGGCTGTGAACTACTGGCTCTGGATGACTGTTGGAGCATGGGGGTTTGACCAGACGATCTCCAGAGGTCCTTTTCAACTATTCCTCTGTGATTCTGTATGGTAACTGGTTTTGTGTGTCTCTGTTTTAACCCTGTTGATGTATCTTTGGATGTGTTATCTGTGTATGCATTCTCAGTCTTCCTTTAGAGTCCTTAGCTTCAGTATTTCCGTTTGGAGTAACTGAAGAAAAACTTGCCTTCTTCTTTATATAAAACTGTGGGAACTACCCATATAAAAAGTAGGTGCTGAAATCTGATTCTGCTTAGGCTTCCAAGATTTTGAACTTTTGAACTAGCATTTCTTGATGGCTTCTAGTTCTTGTATTGAAAAAGACTGTCCCAGGCCCCTTGGGTCATCTTTTCACTAAGATGGATAGTCCCCGCCTTTTATAAAACTTCCTATAAAACACATTCTATATTTCTGACTAGTCTTATTACTGTTCTCTAAAACTTTTCCGGTAATAGTGCCTCCTTTTGAGATTAGAACACGAGCACTGCACACAAAATAGAGGGTGCAGGCAACCTTCCAGTGGCCCAAACGTTGAGGTTTTTTTCTTTATTTTCTAATAATTTTTAATATTAGAATTGTTTTTGTTTTGACTACTGTTAGGCATCAGGTTAAATTCTTTGTTAAAACTATCTGTTGTAGCTATGAGATTTCTTTTAAATAGTAATAGTAAGCCTAGTATGTGAAATGAGGAAGGTGTTTCTTTTGTGGATTGAGTTACACAGTTTATTTCCTACAGATGTTGTGTTTCATGTCCACAATTCCTTGAACCTTTCTTTATTTAAAAACTGGTTGGTTTCACATTTGCAATCCTCCTGCTTTTGGGTAAAATAGAAGTTTAAGTGAACTATTAAATGCTCCCATTATTAGTATGGTAACTCTTTGATTTAACACTCAACATATTAAGTAATTACGAAATTGTTATTTTGTTTGTTTTACAGGAGAATATTAAAAAGTGAACCTCCTTATCCACAAGAAATGAGTGCTCTGTCTAAGGATATAATTCAGCGGCTTTTGATGAAAGACCCCAAGAAGAGGCTAGGCTGTGGTCCCACTGATGCTGATGAAATCAAGCAGCATCCCTTTTTCCAGGTAAAGCAAACAATAAAACTTACAAAATACCACTTACTCTATATTGTGAAATCCAAGTCTAAGGAAATTCTGCTGTTTTGTTAACAGAATAGCTTAGAGACATGTTAATTGCATGAGTAATTATATTGAAGTTAGAAAAAATATCCATGTGTTTATTTGTGTGTATTTTGTGTCTATATTGGGTTGTCTTGTGGGGTTTTTTTGGTGCTTTTTGTTTGTTTGTTTTGTTTTGTTTGCTTTTTTGTTTTTTTTTCCTAAGAAAGTTTGCTACTAGCATTATTTGTAAAATCTGAATATTGATAAAATTCACTAAACTCCTCTATTTTCCTTGGCTTAATTAAATCTTTAGTCTTGTTTAGTAATTCTGTTCAGCTTTCAGTGTATTAACATTTGCTTTCAGACAATTACAAAGATTGGATTTGCATACAGCATCTGTCCTATTCCATCCATTGTGGTTAAAATTGTGTGCTTTCTTTGAAAAAACTAAGTATTGATGGTGCTTCTGAAGTTAAGGAAAGTTACACAGAGTTAAACTTCCCTTATTCACTGTTTGCTTTGGAAGATACATTTTGTCTTCATACAACACTTTTTAATCTTGGCTTAATTTCAGTTCCACTCCTTTACAGTATCAGGGCAATTTTCTCATAACTGCTATACCAATGCTTCCTCTTTCTAGCCATGCATTTAAGGAAGAATTCAGAGGCTTATGCTCTCAGGGCTCTGGAAGCTGACATTAGTAATTAAGCATAAAAATTGGCAGTGAAAAGTTGAAGATACTGAATGCATGTACTGTGGCTTACAAAAATATGGATGTTGTTTATTCTGAAATAGAGTAAGAAATTCAAGGGCCATCGTACTAATTGTTTGGCTCATCTCCACTGTTAAATTTAATTATATTGTTGTTTTTTATTTTAAATTGAATTCTGTCTACATACAAGTAAGTATGATACTTCTTGGCTCTACCTAAGCAAATTAGTAGGCCATAATTTGAATGCTTTTCATCTGCCTGTGGAAAATAGGAAATGGAGTTAGGATTGTGTTTCTGGACAAGTCTTGTCTTTCCAGTATCTCTTTCTGTTAAATTTTCATTTTATTCAGTCTTATTTTCCTGGTTTTTGTTTAGAATATGAATTGGGATGATTTAGCTGCCAAAAAAATACCAGCTCCGTTTAAACCAGTAATAAGAGATGAATTGGATGTCAGTAATTTTGCAGAAGAGTTTACAGAAATGGATCCAACATACTCTCCTGCAGCAACCCCTCAGACTTCAGAAAGAATATTTCAGGTATTTTAAGAACTCTCATTAATTATAAAAAAAAAATTAATTGAACAATTCCATATAACTAGCTTTTTTTTCCTCCTACCTTTCAAATTCTTGGAATTAACTGTGTAATTTCCCATCTCAGTTCAGAGCTTTTTGTTCAACAATTGCAAAATTAGAAAGGTGGAAACAGTCCTACTGCAAATATAAAATTCCTTGTCTCCCCATTCCCAGCTGAATGTCCTGCATGCTGGACTACAGTCAGTCTGTTCTTTATTGATTCTTCATACCTTATGAGTCTTGTCATCTCAATTCCATCATCCTGGGCTACCAGCTTGAACAACAGCCATGTAGTTGGCCCATTTCCACGTTATGCACTAGTTGAAGTATTTCTTTGGGAAGTGGGAGCTACCTGCAGAGTTGAAATTAGATCTTCCACATTTTGTAGGAGTGCTCTAATTACTAGACTGCTATATACAGATGAGTAACAAAGCTTTCCTTATCATCTCCTCCGTGCTGGTAAAGAATGATCCCTTCTTAGACTGTACAGTCTGGATATCAGATGGGTGGGTAGAAACAGCTCATTTGCAGTCAACTTGGTACCAAAGCTGCAGAGGTGAAGAGCAGTTTGGATTGCTTTCTCTTCTCCCCCTCCCTTGTTGTTTTTTATTGTCTATGTTTGAGAAGCTTAATTCAGCATCCTATTTTGGAAGTTGTTAGATCTGTAGGTACTGTAGTAAGCAGTTTGTGTGTCACCACTCTGTAGTGGTAATCACAGCTGTTCTACTCAAACTGGGCACATCATTAATATGAAGCTTATATTGTTTAGCCATTTAAAATGGTTTGATGCTTACATCACAACGTAAAAGCTATTTCATGCCTTAACTTTAAGGTGTCCTGGGAAGCTGGCTAGTTTGAAGTATGAGCCTTTATCACTATTGCAAAACAGTTGAAGCTGAACCAGATTAGCATTAATTGTGAGAGTTCTTGTAGCGTTATTGTTTTATCTTTACCTATGGAGAAACATATAACTGATTCCAGGAATATACCTGTTGGTGTTGAACAGAGTAATATCTAACCCTCAATGAGCCAGTTATAGCTTCTGTACGATAATATGAAAATTCTGATTTCTTTGAAAATTTATTCTGAAACTTCTAATGTTTCATATGTATTATGATAGTTAATGTGGAGCAATATCAAGCCATGCCCTTTTCTGATGTTTTAATTTCATAGGGATATTCTTTCGTTGCACCTTCTATTTTGTTTAAACGCAATGCAGCTACAGTAGATCCTCTGCAGTTTTATATGGGGGATGAACGACCTGGAACTACAACTATTGCCAGAAGTGCTATGATGAAGGTAATAATAATATCAAGAACTAAATTAATTTGGTGTACCTGGGAACTCTGTATAACTCCCAAAGCAGCAATCACAAGCTAGGCTACAGATTACAAAATAGTCATCGTTCATTTATCAGTTCTCTGTAATGGCTCCTCCGATGATCCAAGCATCTAACTTGCATGTGATACTGTTAAGTGGTTAACGCTTAGACAATCATCTCATTTTTCAGATTAGTTTTCCAGAAGGATCAAGTATAAAATTAATAATAATATGATTCCTGATAGCTCTTATTCAGCCAACCATTGTAGATATTTTTGAAACTGTTAATTATATCAGAATTCCTTCTATGCTATGTTTACCCAAAAGAGTGTATAGTTGTGTGAAGCCTTATAAGAACACATGCAATTGTGATGTCTTCAAATGAGTGCATAGTTTTGTGGATAAATGTATGTATGGCCATCTTTGATCCTGTTTGTCTGAATATTTTGTATCTTCAGCTATTGTAGTAGTAATGATTTCTTTAGTGATTGTTTGTTTAATGTAACATGAGCTTTACTCTCTGATTGTTAGAATAACGTTTATGCATTTTAATAAATAGAAGTTAAGATTATATATTTCATTAAAAAGAGAGCTCTTTTACAGTTTTAAATATAGATGAAAAATTCTCACAAAATTTTACTCTTTGTCTTTGACTGTGTATACTAAAAGTATTCTGCAAAACTAAATACAGACAGTTTCCTAACAGGACTCTCCATTTTATCATCATTATGAACTGGATCTGAAAGAGAAACCATTGGGAGAAGGAAGTTTTTCCATTTGTCGAAAGTGCTTACACAAGAAAACTAGCCAAGAGTATGCAGTAAAAATAATTAGCAAAAGGTATAAATATTCTATAAGACAATAAAAATATTTTCTTTGCTTACTGTCACCCATGGATTAGAATGATGTTCACTACATTTTTGGAAGTAGAAAAATAACTTTAAAATTATTTTCTGTTCTATGAATCTGCAGAAACTTACTGTATCCTTATGACCTTTAAAAAATTCTGAGAGTCTTTTGAAACAAAATGTTATTCTTGTTGGGGAGGACACAGGAAGAACCCTAAAAAATACCTTTCTGGTTCCTAGTTGTATTCCACCTTTATTTCCCCTAATTCTTCTCTTAACAAAGTAAGGTGTAAGGCTTTTCTATCTTTAGACTTAAGTGAACTGAACGTAGGCTTATGCTAGCTCCCTCTCCTAAGCAGCCCATTTAATTGCCTAGGATACTGCTTTTAAGAGGGATCTGTCGTATGGGTTGCCTCAGATCTAACTAACTGTGTGTGTGTGTGTATAAAATGGAATTAGACTATGGAGTTGTAAGTAGCATCTTGTTTCCTGGGTGTTCTGAAGAGAACATCCAAATGAAGGCAGCTGACTTGCTTTGCACACGGGTATCAACTGGTCTTTTTCCAGAACGAATACCTCAGTTTCTGCTCAGAGAAAAATAAAGATAAAGGGTTCTTTGAGAAGCAGATGGATTTTTGCCTTAGTTTTGCAGTGTTCATTAGTAAATAGGTCCCCAGTGTGTTGTAGAATTCTGGCAGGAAGGGGAAAGTATAAATGTTCTGCTGTCGGAATGATAGTTTACAGTGATCTCTTCTCCAAGACATTTGGCTGTACCTCTGTTTTTCCAGACCCTAGAAGAAGCTGTCCACCAGACTTTAGTATTTCATCACATGCTGTTTGAATAGGATAAGTTCAAGAATAAGAAGCCTAAGGGTAGATGTCTGAGTCATTTTTCTGAAGTCTGCTAATTTAATAGAGGCCTGCCTAAAACTGTTAGTGGAGTCTACAGAGAGACTGGAATGACCTGGCACTAGAAGTGGGATTCAGTAACTTAAACATAGACATCTACGTAGTGCCATTTTAGCATCTGTTGGTGTCTTCTCTGTTCTCCAGTTCCCATCAGTCTTGTGACTACTACCTTTTTGTAGATGTCTTCATGGCTGATGTCATCTCCCAGGCTCTCCTATGCTTAGGCCACTGAATCCTACTCTAGGTATGTATGTTATGGTGAATTAGTTCACCCTGTAAGATTGGTTACCTAGAATTTCAGTCATTATAATGAGACCTTGAACAAGTAGTATGCAGTAGACACCTACATTGGATGTTTCAACGTGAAAATCTCTGCCTTGTGTCTACACTCAAAATTTTTTTCTGTGGTACATGCAGAGCTGTAGATTAGTACTCACATCTTGTCTTAATGTAATGGATATTTTGTCTTGGGATAACAGTGGGCACACTGGTATTGACTTTTCCCCTAGAACTAAACTTTAAGGAATTATGTCCCTAGATGGGATTACTCATGGGTTCTTATGCTCTTTCTCCTTCATCTTAGTAGATCAGGCTAAATGAAGGAAAGAAGTGGTCTGTATACAGAGATTTTTTGGGTTTTTTTGGAATTGTAGGCTGTGAGCAGAGTCAGAGCATGTTTGTGCAGTGTTTAGGGGTAGCAGTAAACCCATATTCTCAATAGTTGGACAAAAAACAGCTTGAGTAAGAAACTGTAAATAATATTGCTCTGAGGATCACACCAGTAAATCTTGCTAAAAGGAAAAGTGTAATGGGTTTCTAGCAACTTCTTTGCCTCAAAGTCAGTCTTTCACTCCTACTGACCAAATGTTCCCAAAAAGGGGAATCTTACACCTAGGGAAACCTTTTCATGATACTTGAGGTGAAAGCTCAGATGAAGAGTTCCTCTGTGGTGTTGCTTTGTTTTGTTAGTAGTGCTGGACCTGCTTCCAGCCAACAATTTGAGGTTTATCTGTGTGTCTGAAGACCAGTGGAACAGTGGGCCCCTTTAAACTTGCTTGAGTTACTGTTTTACAATGTCCAATTTGTTTTTCATGAGATGGTAACTATTTATGGGCGGGAAATACTCAGAAAAGTCCATGTACAGATTTCGAAGGTTTATGTTCACGATACTGAACCTTTTTCATCTGTGTCCGAGGTTCACTTCCTTCTGATACTCGTTTAGGGGGAAAGACTATGTGAGTCAGGTTTTTTAATTTCTTAAGGACCTGAAGCCACTTTCAATTTAAACAACTTCGGCAGCGGAGATGCAGGTGAAACAGCTTAGTTTATTCATTGATTATGTGAAGCCTCCAGAAAAACTGAATTCTCTTGCACAGAATTCTCAGCATAGTTCTTATCCTAATTAGGGGGGAAAAAAGGTAATCAATAGTTAAGAACATGTGTAGTGGGAGAGATTCTGTGTAATCCATAAGGCCATTCTCTTAGGTCTGTAAAGGGTTATACTTTCTTGGGGAGGGTTTTGGCAAAATTTGTCCGGCATTATTTGCCAAAAATAAATCAACATATCTAACTAGTGGGGAAAAAACATCCTGGTCTGTCACCATTCACATAGTTTTTATAGTGATCACTATGTTCACTTTTTTGGCTATAGATTTCAGTACTTGAAAGAGAATTTATGCCATGAGTTTTGCTCTGGAGATAGTCTCTTGTCTCTTCCATTTCAGATTCTTGCAATGGCCTGTTTAGGGGTTCACTTGTATAACACAATTTATATATAGATGATGTTACTCTTTTTTTCCTAGTAGAGCTCATAGTTTCCATACCACTTTGGAAGTACTTGTCTCCTTTAAGAATGGAAAATGATTTGGCCAAGATAAAGGTGAACTAACAAATCTTTGTAGCAACATAAGTGAAGTCAAATTTCCCTGGACTAAGGGAAAGGTTTGTTTTAAATAGAAAATATTCTATAACATCACATCAGCTTTTGCTGTAGCAAGTTGCAATTGCATTAAGAACATTGTTTGATTCTGCTGTGGTTTTTTAATATCCTAAATTGCAAAGTTATGTGGCAAGTGTTCTCAGCTTACTTTGAATATGCCTTTAAGTGTATTAAAGCAATTAAAAATGGGTCTAACGCTTTGAATGTGCAACTTTCTTAATAAAATGGGTACAAAATGACTGCTCAATTTTTCTAGAATGGAAGCCAACACCCAGAGAGAAATAACAGCCCTGAAACTCTGCGAAGGACACCCAAATGTAGTGAAGTTACATGAAGTTTTTCATGACCAGGTATTTTGAAGAAACTGTTATCAGCACCTACCAAACACTTTGCCGTGTGTTTTCCCAGAACTTTTAAAAGTTAAGCATACTGTAACTGTGAAGGCAACTTTTTTCCTAGGGCTTTTGTCTAGTCAGTATAGAAGATGACGCTGAAGTTCTGCATTCAAGCAATCTTGCAGTTACTCTAGCAAATCAAAAAAGTGTGCAGAAAAATTAGTCTTGGATTCTCTTTGGGGTTCTGGCCTTAGTTGTCTTTGTGAATCATCATACAGTATATTTGTGGCACAGTTTCACATCTGTGATACTGAGGTGTCTAATCACTTTTCCCCTAGGCTTGTCATAAATTTTAAAACAGTATTGGTGAATTGATTTGGAAATTGTACATATGAAGATTATATAGCTAGCATTTTTTTTTTTTTTTACATATTAGTAACTCAATGGATTAAATAAATAGCTTGCCAAATTACCAGTTGTGAAAGTAAAGCCTCTATTTGAAAATACATTAAGATCAGTTTATTTAGGTACTGTAATTGTCTTTTTCCTTAATGTGATGCAGACTCCACAACATGTAATAAATCATAATTTGGTCTGAATTGGAAGTTGTCTCTGGTCTGAGCTGGGGTTTTGGACTGGATGTCCTGTAGAGCTCCCTTCTTACCTAAACTACTTTGTGATTCTAGTCTGTGATTCTGTAATGGAACGTGAGTTCTCTTGCCTCTCCACCTATCCCAGTCTGTCCTCCTCATGCTGTTTATACAAGGACCAGCAGAGAGGTCATGTGGAACACTTCTAAAATGAGCTGAGAGGATTTCACAGTAAACTTTCAGGGTGCTTTTAAATTATTTAATTAACATTAGGTGGTTAGCTCCTTTTGCATATTAATAGATACATATCCCTGCATCAGAACAGGCTAAAGGGCAAAGCTTTTTCCAGCTTTATTTGTTAGCCTAAGTAAAGAAATTTCATCTCTCTACAAATGTAGCTGATGGCATTGTGTTTTTTTAAGTAAATATGGGGAAGACATTATCATTCTTCTGTCTCAATGAGATTGATGGGGAAAGTGCATCTGAGATGCAACTTGGTGCTTGTTTTTGGCCTTCCAAATTGCTACAAGCAGTAGTGCTATTTCTTCAAACATGGAGAACCTGTCAGATTAGCACCTACCTCTTGAACGAATGTTGGTTTGTAACGTGAAATTTCTAACGTGCTGTACTTTGTTTTGTTGTTTCAGTTTCACACATTTCTGGTAATGGAATTGCTGAAGGGAGGAGAATTGCTTGAGCGTATTCAGAAAAAGAAACATTTCAGTGAGACTGAAGCCAGTCACATCATGCGCAGACTTGTTTCAGCAGTGAGCCACATGCACGATGTAGGAGTAGTCCACAGAGATCTGAAACCTGAGGTATAGTGACTTGCATATATATGTGAAGACAATAAGTTATTAAATATCTGGAATGCAATGTGTCTCTGTTTCTCCAGCTTTTATTACAGAGTTTTCTACTTCTGTTTTTTTAATAAAATGTTATCACTTTTACTTGGTAAATTCTGTAGATGTTTTTCTGTTCATAGGTGAAAGTAACTGTTAGGAAACAAGTTTAGTTCTGTAAGCAATTTATACTCTTAAATCATTCAAAAACATTCTTCACCTATTTGGGGACAGTTTTTACTAGTGTGTATTTATTGTATGAAGCAGTTCATAAGCAGAGAGCAAGGTTGCTTGGATACTTTCCCTGTACATTTTCACCTTTGGTTTGACCTTAATTCCCTCAGCGGGGCTTCTTTTGGATGTAACTGACACCCTTGTACTGTCTTCTGTTCCAGTTAAGCACAAAATGAACCACAGACTAATGCAGTCAGCTAATAAAGATGTGTGATTTGAGTTCCGTGAGTTCAGTCATTTCCCAAAAGAAACATTTTTTAATATCTGTTTTTCAATAATTACTTGTTCTGATATTTTTATTATGCAGCAACATCTTGCTTTCCAGACAATTCTGTTTACTATGGTGAGGTTGACCACTGGCTTTGTTCTGCTTCCCAGACCCAGTTTTTTTTTTTTTTTTTTTTTTTTTTTTTTTTTTTTTTTTTTTTTTTTTTTTTTTTTTTTTTTTTTTTTTTTTTTTTTTTTTTTTTTTTTTTTTTTTTTTTTTTTTTTTTTTTTTT